AGATAAAAAGTGCGCAACCTTTTTTTTTTTTTTTTCCATAGCAGAAATGGGCCTCCATATATATGCTTCGAAGACAAAAGTGTATTTTTTTTTATTAAAATAAATAAATAATAAAATACAATAATACTATACTATCTAAGTAGCACAGCAGCATTAGCTTAAATAATAGTGTAATTTCGAGCAGGATGTTCTGTTTGTCCAACTAGTGGCTCATGGGACAACCTGTTCGAAAATAATCATTATTAGTTTTGCAATTCCATTTTGAAACACTACTAGTGCTGAAAGAACACTTTAACTTTGATGTATGTTTGTTTTTATTCTTCACAGTACTCTTGCTGGAATCCTTTCCTGTTACTCAGCCCTAGTATAAAAACTTTTCTTTGCCTTCGTCTGTCATTACATTTCTTTTTAGCACTTACGCAACTACATCTCAAAGATGCATTGTGTGTGAAAGAGAAGATGACTTTTATCAGGGCAACTAAATAGACACTATTGCATTTCTAAAACGAATGCTAGACTCTGCCATTTGTTCTGCGAAAAGCTGTTTTTAAAACTTTTCTCCATTAGGCCCTTCTTCTTTTTTTTAATACTTACCTTCTCACTTTTGAAAGTTTCAAAGTGTGCTTTTTATGTTGTGGGAAAGAAAATCAATTCATATTGAGGAACATGAAGTAGTTCGTTTACAGGAAAATATCTATTGACGCATCAAGACATTCTTCTCACTTTAAAGGATGAGTAATTTTTGTGTGTCGTACAGTATCACTCCAGACACAAGGTCTTGGTGGAACAAAATTCAACTTCAGAATAAAAACACTAGTAGGAAGTGCACATTTAAAAAAACAAATCATCTCAATACATTATCTTGATTTTCATTTAGGCACACACTGTCCTTTTTCTACCTACACACACATACTTGGTTAATATACTTCATATTATTAACTTTTTTAATGAAATGAAAAAGAAAATGACATTGATTTTCAGAAATAAGTTTTTTTTTGTTTGTTTTTTGCATTGTCACATTTTCATGACTATAAACACCATTCCTCCAAATTCCCATATTATTGCAATGCATCTAGACATATTTCTTGTGAGTTTTTTTGTCATTGTAACTATTCTCAATAATTCTCATTATATTGCTCTAATGCAGTATTTTTTTTTTTTTATCAATGACTATTTAAATTAGCATATATTAAAGGGGAAATAACTTTTTTGCAATTTAAATAATTGAAATAATTATTTAATATATTTATTTTATATATGTATACATCTCATATGTAGTCATTTTTATGTCTAGCAGACACAGACACAGACACAGACACACACACACACACACACACACAGACACAGACACACACTGCATTAGATTGCTGTAATGCAGTATTTTTTATCAATGACTACTGCAATTTAAAGAATTGTAATATTTAATAAATACATGTATATATCTAATCATATATATAAATATTTACAAATACTCTAAAACAATCTCAAATTTAATTGGACTGCCTTTAACGTTGTGCATTCGTTGTAGTGGTTCAACTGATCACAAAACGAACGGTTCAGATTATATTATGGTTTTTGAGTCACAGATCGAATCGTTTTTCTGATCAGAAAAAAAAAAAAAAATTCAATGTAACTTTGCTTTCCATTTATTAATTATAGTACTTCTTAGATGGCACAAAAAAAAAAAAAAAAAAGAAAAGAACAAATACACAAATTACAAGCATAGATAAATACAAGGGAACAAAGTTACAAATAAAATTAGGTCCGTAGTATTCAGGTACAGAAATGTAATAATTAAGTGTAAAATACACTGCATAGTGTTCACTGTATAAATTAAATACAGGTTAACCTTTGTCAAAGCTGTGTTTTGTTGTCTGATTAGCATTAATGACAGCAGCAGGTATTTATAGGTCGTGTCCCTTTAAGACCTGATAAACTACGATCCGTTAAACCCCTAAATCGTTGTGCCATTGTATTGACATCTGTGCAACGTCACCACATTTATTTCCATCAAGAGTTGCATACATTTTTGATCTTGTATTGATAATGAGAGAGTCAAACTACTCTGTAAAGTCGAATCCAGCACACCCTAAAGACTTTCAATAGGCTTAAGATCAGGACTCTGTCGTGACAATTCATACATGAAAATGATTCTTTATGCTCCCTGGACCACCAACCAAATGGTGACTTTTTTTTCTTTTATTGGCCAGGCAGTATATATATATATACACTCTCAGAAAAAAGGTACAAAAGTTGTCACTGGGGTGGTGACAACTTTGTACCTAAAGAGTCCATATTGGTATAAAGGTACATATTAGTACCTAAAATGCACATCTCAGTACCTAAAAGGTACAAACGTGTACCGCCCCAGTGACAGCGTTTGTACCTTTTTTTTTCCTGAGAGTGTATATATATTAAACATGAATTATATTGCATTCAAGCTTCACATTATTATTATTATTATTATTATTTTTTTTTATTTTTTTTCATTTTACAGTATATCATAAATTTTGTCAGGAAATCAAAAGGAAGACGTCCTAAAATAATGTCACGCTGAAAAATGTTAGTGTTAAAACAACAGTTGCTTAATTTTATTTTTTGAGGCGAAATGTTGTCGACAAGTTACATGAGACTTGTCCACTAACTAACCTTGGCTCTGAAAGGTATCCAGACAGTGTCTCGGACAGAACGAGGAGCCTTTGAAAGAGGACAAGGTTCTGTTCAGATGAGTTTAAAAATAAACCTGATGGAAGTAGGACCGGTGCCATTCTGTAGGTCCACATCCTGTCTGCCTGCCGCCCTGCAGAGTAATCGGAGAGGTGGCAAAGCATTCTCACTCTGTCTTTTTTCCTTCAGCTACCCTGGGGAAATCAGCGGCTTTCAGAGTCGCCCTGCCTGGAGTCCCGTCCTCGCAGCTGGCTGTGACAAGACCTCGTACCCAACCACGAGGCAGCAAAGAGACTGGGGAAGAGACAGCTGACTTCCACTGCAGTACACCAACTAAAAAAACAGCACCATCCACCCCGAGCTGATCCGAGCCATCAGTCAATCTGTAGATGTGCACTGTGCTCTGAACCCATCAGACTCCAAATGCTGCATCCTAAATAACTCTCAACAGCTGTTTTTATGATAAAGGTAGTTCATGCAAGAATAAAAAGTCATCATTTACTCATGTTGTTTCAAACACACATAATGTTCTTTTTTTCCATGAAACAGAAAAGACGAAATTCTCATGTATCTTCATATACACATTCAAATGTTTGGAGTTTTTTTTATTTTTTTTTAAAGAAATTAATACTTTTATTAATTACATTGTAATCAAAAGTGACAGTAAAGACAATGGAAATTATGTATATATATATATATATATGAAAGTGACCAAATATTTCTATTTAAAATAAATGCTGTTGTTTTGAATGTTCTATTCATCAAAGAATTCTTAAAAGAAAATATGTATTAAGCAAAAAAACAACAAAAAACCCCCAGCAAAAACATGAAGCAGCATCTGAGCTAACAGGAAATGTTCTCACAACGTTTTTTAAAAGTTATAACAATGTTAGGATAAATCGTTCTTACAGTAATGTTTATGGAGCGTTCTTATAACTTATATTTATGTTTGATATATGTTCTCATAACGTTGAGAGAACTTTAAATAACATTCTAATCACAACAAGAAAACTAAACATTTTAACATTCTTAGAATATAAAAAATAGACATTCAAATAACGTAATATTTTGGGTGAAAATAAAGTTAATAGAAAACTGTAAGAAATGTTTTTGTAACCTTTAATTAACGTTATAATCACTGCATGAAATCTGGACATTATAACATTCTAAAAAATAAACGTTTAAATCAAGTTAGTAGAAAGCTATACTAAATGTTTTTGTAACTTTTAAATAACATTCTAATCACTACAAGAAAACTGGACATTTTAACATTCTTAGAATATTAAAAATAAACGTTCAAATAAATAGTGTTATATGTTGGGTAAAAAGAAATGTTTTACGAAATGTTTTTATAACCTTTAAATAACATTCTAATCCCTACAAGAAAACTGGCCATTTCAGTGTTTTATAAACATTTCAAAACAATGTTTTTATAACCTAAATTTGTTACCTGAAACAAATGTTTTCAACATTGAGAATAAGAAGAAATGTTTTCTGCACTCTCAGAAAAAGAAGGTAAAGCTGGGGCAGTACCTTTTAAAAAGTTACACTTTTGTACATGTTAGGTACCAACATGCACACTTATGGTACTAATATGTAACTTTAAGGTACAAATATGGACATTTTAGGCACAAAGGTGTGCCTGCTACTGCTCCAGTGACAGCTTTTATACCTTTTTTTCTGAGAGTGTGAGCAGCAAATCAGCATATTAGAATGATTTCTGAAGGATCATGTGACACTGAAGCCTCGGGGTAATGATGCAGAAAATTTAGCTTTGATTACAGGAATAAATTACATTTTAGAATATATTCAAATAGAAAACTATTTGAACAAATTTTAAATTGTAATAATATTTGATATTACATTTTTACTGTATTTCTCATCAAATAAATGCAGCCTTGGTGAGCAGAAGAGACTTCTTCAAAAACATAAAAAAACTCAAACTTTTGAATGTTAGTATAAATCTTTTCTGCACAACATCAGTTTAAATTAATGTTCCAAAAAAGCACAAAAAAAAAAAAAAACACACAACCGCAAAT